AAAAATTAGCCGGGCGTGATGGCGGGCGCCTGTAATCCCAGCTAACTTGGGAGGCTGAGGCAGAGAATTGCTTGAACCCGGGAGGCGGACATTGCAGTGAGCCAAGATCACGCCACTGCACTCCAGCCTGGGTGAGACAGCAAGACTCTGTCTCAAAAAAAAAAAAAAATCAATCAATCAATTTTTTTTCATTTCTTTTGATGTAAGAAAATGTCTAGCTAAGTAGTATAGGTACTGCAATACTAGGCTTTTTCATTTTTAGGGGCAACATGACACATTTGAAACCAGGACTATCTTGGAAATTCAGAACTTATGGTTGCCATGTTTACAGGGCAATCAATAATATTTAACAAAAACATAGATGTCTGACAACATTATTTTCTTTTTTCTTTTTTTTTTTTTTTAAAGAGACAAGGTCTCCCTCTGTCACCCAGGTTGAAGTACAGTGGCATTCCATAGCTCACTGCAGCCTTGAAGTCCTGGGCTCCAGTGATCCTCCTGCATCAGCCTCCTGAGTAGCTATGACTATAGGCACGCTCCACCACACCTGGCTAATTTTTGTATTTTTTGTACCTACAGGGTCTCACCATGTTGCCCAGGCTGGTCTTGAGCTCCTGGCCTCGGGCAATACTCCTTCCTCAGCATCACAAAGTGCTGGGATTACAGGAGTGGGCCACTGTGCCCAGCCATACAACAGATTTTCTGATTGTCATTAATTAGCAGTGAATATTAAATTAACTATTTAAAATGATGGGCCAGGCATCGTAGTTCACGCCTGTAATCCTAGCACATTGGGAGGCCAAGGTAGGTGGATCACTTGAGGCCAGGAGTTCAAGACAAGCCTGGCCACCATGGCGAAACCCTGTCTCTACTAAAAATGCAAAAATTAACCGGGTGCAGTGGTGCATACCACCTGTAGTCCCTGCTACTTGGGAGGCTGAGGCACGAAAACTGCTTGAATCCATGAGGTGGAGGTTGTAGTGACCTGAGATTGCACCACTGCACTTCAGCCGGGGAGACAGAGTGAGACTTTGTCTCAAAAATAAATAAAATAAAATAAAATTATGGCCTGCAGATCCTGGCACTATCCTTTTAGGTAATTACCTCTCAAGTTACTATATTACTACCAAAATGTTTCTGAATATTCTTTTTTTTTTTTTTTTTGTGACACAGAATTTCACTCTTGTTGCCAAGGCTAGAGTGCAATGGCCCAGTGTCGGCCCACTGCAACCTCTGCCTGCCGGGTTCAAGCGATTCTCCAGGCTCAGCCTCCCGAGTAACTGGGATTATAGGTGCCCACTGCCATGCCTGGCTAATTTTTGTATTTTTAGTACAGACGAGGTATCACCATGTCGGTCAGGCTGGTCTCGAACTCCTGACCTCAGGCAATCCACCCGTCTCGGCCCCCCAAAGCGCTGAGATTACAGGCGTGAGCCACCACGCCCAGCCATGTTTCTGAATATTCTATGTGTCACACTACATAATCATTAAAGAAACAAACTCAGAATTTTATGAAGCTTAGAAATAATTTTATAGAAAGTAAAATAATTACATTCAGGCAAATCCAAATTAAGATGGGACACCTTGTAAATGATTAGGTTCTTTAAGTGAGATGGGGAGAGAAAGATTTACTAAATTGAAATACCTACCTTGCCGTGGGAACTGTTCAGCTAACTTCCTAAGGCTTGTTAAACTGTCAGCACCAAGCTGACTTAATATTCCAGGAAGCATTTCTGTGATTGGTTTGGCTTCTGCATGACCAGTAATTGCAAAGGTGTTAGCAGAAAGGGAAGCTTGGACTTTGGGATTGTTGAAATGAATAACTGTCCCATCATCTTTAATCATGTTCACCTGTATGATCACAGAAGAAAAATGTACTTCACATGCTAGGTACACTAAAACAAAATATTTTTAAAAAGCAAGTCAGCCAATTATGGTTTTTCACTTGGTAGTTATGTAATCCCAAGGTAGTAACTGGCCAAGCAGTGGACATTCATGGAAAAAGATCATACTAATGAAGTAAAATGGTGTAGATGGCACAAATTATTAGGATGGTTAAGAAATATTCACTTCATTATAGAATCTAGATTTTAAATTCAAAGACTTCTAAAAGAAGTACATGCCCACGTTTTTTAAAAAATGAAAGTATCAGCCACGAACCAGCTTCTTAATGAAATTACTCATTATCTTACTCAATTTATACTGTCAAACAAAATCAGTGCAATTTCCACTTGGTAGGGTAGCATCTTACTTAGGGGACTGGTTATAAACGGGCAACAGTATATAGTAAAAATAACCACTGAAAATCCATAAAGAACACTCAGAAATTTAACCAGGTGTTTCATTCCTTTAAGCACTTATTACATTTATAAAAATGTCAACTTGTTCTCATCATGTCATTCTTTGTAGGGGATTTTGTTAGTTCCTCTAAATTTTTTTTTTTTTTTTTTTTTTTTTTGAGACAGTCTCGCTGTATCATCCAGGCTAGAGTGCAGTGGCACGATCTCGGCTCACTGCAGCCTCTGCCTCCCAGGTTCTAGCGATTCTCCTACCTCAGCCTCCCAGGTAGCTGGGATTACAGGCACGTGCCACTACGCCTGGCTAATTTTTGTATTTTTAGTAGAGATAGGGTTTCACCATGTTGGCCAGGCTGGTCTCGAACTCCTGAAATCAGGTGATCTGCCCACCTTAGCCTCCCATAGTGCTAGGATTATAGGCATGAGTCACCGCGCCCAGCCAGTTCCTCTAATTCTTAAAGGTAGCTTCTCAACAATCTTTAATAACCCCTGTAAAGGTCAAAGAAGTTGTCCCACCCACTTGCCTAGTGACCTGAACATGCTTTATCAACAACTAGAAAACCTTTAAAAATCATCCTCACATTCTTTCCATAACTTTTACCAATATGAACTGACTATTTCAGATTTGATTTCATCCATTGCCTGGGACTTACTGAAATGGAAGGTTTAACATATGCTACTTAGATTGTTATTTTTCTCTCTCACTCATGTACTTTGTTTTTTTTAGTAGAGTTGAATTTGCGTAAGTTAAATGTGTAAATAATGTGATTCCACTATGTAGTTGATTCCCCTGGGTAAGTTACCTTGGTGGTAACATGCTTACTATATAAAAAGGTTAGGAAGAGTTAACTCTTGGCTACTTTAGAAGCATTTCATGATCCATCCAAAATCTGCCCTGTCACAATCAAGCATAGATGCTGAGTGTTCTCCATGGACTGTGGGAAGAGGGCTTTTCTTCCTCAGAGGTGATCACCAGTATTGACAGCACCAGAAAGGAAGGGCAAGAAAGGGGCTTCTAAATTTCAGGCAAGACCTGGAACACAGAGAAAATAAAAGCAAATCCCTGAAAAATTGTAACTAAACCCCACAAATAATTTCCCCACGTTTTTCTGACAAAAATCACTATTTAAATTCTATACCCTTCCCTCTCTCACTATTACACTTAGGGTTCTATTAATTACATCACACACAATAAGCATTCAATCCAGCTGTTCTAAAAACACGGCACTGTGAGTTATATTAACTTCAGAAAAGATCAATTATATAGTTTTGAAGATAATTACAGTTTTGGTAGAAAAGTTAAATGTTAAAGTGGGTGAAATCTGGGCTTGAGAAGGATGACAGTGAATGTGAAATGGGATGTTGTTCTGCATTTAGGCTAGAATCACATAATTTTAGAATGGGAAAAGAATAAAAGATATGGTAGGACTATATTTTCCAAATCAAGACCAAATCATGTGGTTTAAAAAAGGATTTCAGGCTGGGTGTGGTGGCTCACACTTGTAATCCTCGCACTTTGGGAGGCCAAGGTGGACAGATCATGAGTTCAAAATTAGCCTGGCCAACATGGTGAAACCTTGTCTCTACTAAAAATACAAAAATTTATCCAGACATGGTAGCGGGTGCCTGTAATCCCAGCTACTCAGAGGCTGAGGCAGACGTGGCTTGAACCCAGGAGTCGCACTGCACTCCAGCCTGGGCAACAGAATGAAACTCTTTCTCAAAAAAAAAAAAAAAAAAGAAAAAAGTAAAGAAAAGGGCCAGGCGTAGTGGCTCACGCCTGTAATCCCAACACTTTAGGAGGCTAAGGCGGGTGGATCACGAGACCAGGAAATTGAGACCATCCTGGCCAACATGGTGAAACCCTGTCTCTACTAAAAATACAAAAATTAGCTGGGTGTGGTGGCACGTGTTTGTAATCCCAGCTACTTGG